TTTTTCTCTCCTTAAAATTCCCTTATTTAAGAAAATGTTTATTCTCTACTGCCATGAGGGGAAATAACTTGCCTATTTTGTTTATTAATACATCTCCAACCAGGTGCCTGCAATGTGGTTTCATACAGTGGAAGAAAATACTTGCAAATCATATATCTGATAAGGGATTAATTTAGAGAACATATAAATAAATTCTACAACTCAAAGAAAAAAACTAATTTAAAAATGAGCAAAGGGCTTGAATAGGTATTTCCCCGAAGACATGCAAATGACCAATAAGCAAATAAAAAGATGATCAACATCCCTAATGATTAGGAAAATGCAAATTAAAACCACAATGAGATACCATCTCAATTTTTGTTAGGATGGCTATTATCAACAAACAGAAAATAGTAAGTGTTGATGAGAATATGGAGAAATTGAAACCTTTTTGCATCACTGTTGGGGTGTAAAATGGTGTGGAAATCAGTACGGCAGCTCTCATAAACTTAAACACAGAATTACCATATTATACAACAATTCCACTTCTAGGTATATACTCAAAATAACTGAAAGCAGAGACTCAAACAGATATTTGTAAATGCAGGTTCTTAGCAGCATCATTCATAATAGCTAAAAGGTAAGAAGTGTTCATTAATGGATAAATGGATAAACAAAATGTGACATATACATAAAATGGATAAATAAATTCAATCTCAGAAGTGAATGACTAAATAAATAAGAAAATTCTGAGACATGCTACAATATGGATTAATCTTGAAAATATTATGCTAAGTGAAATGAGCCAGACACAAATGACAAATATTGAATTATTCCATTTAAATGAGGTACCTAGAATAGTCAAATTTATACAGACAGAAAGTAGAATGGTGGTACTATTGCACAACAATGTGAATGTACTTAATGCTATTGAATTTTACATTCTAAAACAGGTACTTTTTGAAATATTAATAGTAATTGTTTTAAGCAAAATGGTACAGTTGATAGAGTCTTGTATCAAGAAAGGATCAAACTGAGGCACTGATATTAATTAACTGTGTGTTCTTAGGCAAGAAATTTGACCTCTCTGGGACTCAGTTTTATCATCTTTGAAATGAAAAGATTGTAATAGATGTCAATGTTTCTTTTTATTCAAAACATTCCATAGAAGCACATCTTAGATGCCAGAACTAAAGCTGAAAAATTGGTCTAACATGAATCAGTGGAGATAAGAGAATTACCATCCCATTTAAGTCTTTTTATTTTTAGGTATTTAGTTAAAGAGAATGTTAATCACAAAAGCAGACTGATGAACACACTTTTGGAAGGAAAATCTATCTCCAGGTTCATTAAAAACACCCAAGTATAGCTTCTTGAAGCCTCAAACTGTGTTATTATTAAGAATAGAGCAGTCGAATAAACATTATTATAAGTCCTAAAAGGTTACTTATTTTCTATGTTTGCTCATAAGTACTACTGACATTTTTTTTTTAGACTTGAAGGTCCCAGGATCTATTAAAACAGAAAGAATTTACTCTGGTGTCATTCTCAGCCCGGGCAAATGATCCCTTCAGTTTTCAGTTTCAGGGAGGCAAAACGACCAGTATCTGCCTCACCTAACCTTCAGATACAATACCAGTATCACCAGCCTACCAGCACCAAGTCCCGTATCTTCTAATTAACACTAAACTCAAAGATTCCACAAAAGCATTTTTCTCCTACAGATAATCTGTTCAATAATTTTGCTAGTTAAAAATCAACATTTGGCCCTGTGCTAAGTAAAAAATGGGAACTTAGAAGTCCCTCAATCTTAAAAAGAAATAGGTGTTTTCGCACATTTCTCTGAGAATAAAAATGCCTCATGATACATATAATAATTAGAGAATAAACATTATTGTGAGGCAGAAATCCAAGTATAAACTTCTCATATAAAAGTAGACTTTGATTAAATAAAAAAAAGAAACTTTGAGCTGCCCAATTATAGCTGGCTCACAAAGTAGCTAACATCCTTGAATAAAATAAAATGTTCAAGCATTAGACAGATGACAATAAACCAAAAGTATGTCATAAAGACTCAGTAACTGGGGTAATTTCTAAGATTCCACCTAATGCTAATATACACAATTTTAAGATCAGCATTACAATAATATCTACATACTATTAACTAACACTAGCAAGAGTCCAGATTTATTAGCTAGCCTATCAATCCATGGAAATTTACTTTAACTACAGGCCAGCAGCATACAGGGCCTTCAAAACTGATTAACAAAAGATAATATATGTCCCCTTCACTCCTTCAAGTAATAAAACAATCAAAGATGTTCAAATCAGACAATCCACCATGAAAATCCTGTGAGGCCAGTGTGTGACTTTGGACAACTTCTTTAACCTCTGAAATTCAGGGAGAGTTTATAAGAGAGAATATCATCTTACCTCACAGAGCTGTTATGAAAACTTTATTAAACTAGGTACCTAGTACTATATAAAATAGTACAGTATACTCTCTCAGATTATACACATTCTTCAATATCCTGCTTAAAAGTTACCCCTCCACGTTCTCCATCACTTTCTAAGCCAATATTTCTATACTCCAAACTTCCAAAATATACTGCATGTATCTCTCAATTTTGAACCCTCAATTATAGGACAAAGTGAATTTGAGACTGTATTTTGGTTAGACTTTAACAAATCTGAACATAAAGAAATGGGACTAATGAATATTTGATTGACTGGTTTAACTATTTTTAAGTGTTCATATTAAAATGCTTAGGTATCCTCGCTTATGGACAAGTCTAAGCTAGAGTAACTTTCCAAATTCTTCCCCTACTGTATGCAGTGATAGATATATGGATATATGTCTCATCCATTAATATCCAATTCTAACAAGGCCTCATCTCATCAGCTATCTCTGATGTCCCAGGGAAACTGTCTGCTTTCTTTAAACTTGTAGGACATACTGCTTTAAGCAGTATTTCATTGACTTCAAACTGCACTAAAACTAATCAGTATCTCAATTTATTAAGTTTTGTCTTTTTATTTTCAAGTTAGAGTTATTAGCAGATTCATTAAACATGTTTTTTACATTTATTAAGGAAAACAATTTCAAGAAACCATTTCAAATCAACATACTTCCATAAAGCACAGCAAAAATATCACTAAAATAGCACAGCAGTAGTCTTAACTACAAAAAAGCAAAACACATCCAAAAACTATTGGCATTCTGTGATCTCATGCTTTCAGTATTTAACTGGAATATTATTTCTAGATGTCTGCAGGCATATTTTAAGTAACATTTGACAGTATTCATAATAATCCCTAAGTATCCTTAAAATAAGCCTTACTTATTTAAATATTCATTTTATATAAAGAAGATAATCATTTTGAAAAATGTGGACTTTTTAAAAGAAATTAAGAATTTTCTACAGTAAATTGCACTGTTTACAATAAAACTATTTTAGTCCTATAAATGGTAATTTAACCAGCATATAACGGAGATAATAGTTGATAAATACCTATTAAAATTGATATCACCATATCAACTGCGACATATTCCAGTTTATTTCTTAATAGATTAGAACATGAAAGTTGGCTCAAATGCAACATACCATGTATGCTAACAAAAAGTTAAATCCATCTCTATGTAGCATAATAAACAACATATGGAGGAGTAAGGACAAAATGAAATTTATCATTAGAAATTAAGAATAATAATTTAATAATCATTTCATTTTATAAAGGAATTGGTAACTACAACTTTTTAAAATTTTTTCTGTATCAGCAAATTTTCTTGAAAATGTCAGCAATTATTTTACTAATTTCATTTTAAAAGTTACATATTATTAAAGAAACAAATTGTTAGCAACTGAAGTATTTTAGTCAAGAAATTAGCTGGGCACAGTGGCTCACGTCTGTAATCTGAGCATTTTGGGAGGCTGAGGTGGATGGATCACAAGGTCAAGAGATCAAGACCATCCTGGCCAACATAGTGAAACCCCATCTCCACTAAAATACAAAAA